TTCAATAACCTGCACTAATTTCTTATCCTTGATAATTACCTGCAACATCAACATACAAATCTAGGTACCCTTTAATTATTTTTTGGTCCTTAAAAAGGTTAGTAGAATCACAAGTCTCTGCCAAGAGACTAATGATATAACCATGATATAATAATCGATTATCACAGCACCTACAGAATCAACATAATTGATTATGATCGCAAATTTTTTTTTTCTAAAAAATCATAATCTATTAGATGCTCAACTATCATTTAGACATGTATAAATGTTTTGTTCCTTTAGGCACCCATTCATATTTGCCATTAGATATTCCAAAAAGTTTTATATAACATCTATTTGATGTATGACCTAATTTCATGCAATAAAACACATGTTGGTTTTCTTTGAAAAGGTCTAAATGAGTTTCTTAAAGTTTTTGAAACTGGTTTCACATTTGTTTTCCTTGACTCTTTCACAAAAATAGTTTTCTGAGGTTCTAGACTTTCTTTGGGTTTGTAACCAAGTCCAGCTTTACTAGAATTTCCTCTTTGATAACCTAATATAGAATCAAAATTTTCAGAAGATTTTGAAAACTTGCTTATTATTTTCTCTAACTTGAAAATCTCATTTTCCAAAAGATTACAATTTTCACAAGGTTTAGCAACTTCTTTATTTTTAGACAAAGTTTTAAATTTCTCAACATCTTTCTTTAAGCACTCATTTTCTTTTTCAAGAATACCAACAGTATTTTCTAATGCATTAAACTTTTGTCTAAGTGCATTGTATTTCTTATAACTTGGTAAAACCTTCATACATATCTTGATATTCTTTAAACAATTCATCATATTCATTTAAGGATTTTGTACTACTTATCTGTGATGAAGCTTCATCATCACTTTTTGTCATCAAATAAAGATTTGCTTCTTCTTCTCCATCACTACTTTCGGAAGAACTCTCTTATGTTGTGGAAGAATCATTATCCTTCCAAGCAATATAAGCTTTGTGTTTGTTCTTATAGGTATCGTTCTTCTCTTTCTTCTTCTCTTTCACATTTTTCTTCTCTTTCTTAAGTTCCGGACAGTCTGGTTTGATATGACCAGGTTTTCTACATTCATAGCAATGAAATTAATTTTTTTTTCTCCTTTTTTTGCTGTCTTTTTTTCTGTTCTTCATAAAGCGAGAAAATTGTTTAACAAAAAGAGACATATCGGAGTCCGAAAACTTACCTTCATTTTCGATTTTGTCTTGTAAAAATTTTTCTGCTTTTAGAGCTATCATCTTGGTTTGATTCTGTTCACCGTTCTTTAACCTTTGTAGCTCCATATCATGTTCTCGCAGCTTTCCAAATAGAGTAGCAATATTCATTTTGTGAAATCCTTTGATTATGTAATAATAGTGACCTTTGGCTGTCAATTACTATCTAAGGATTTTAAGATCTTTGTGCTCAACTCCTCATTGTCAAAATTTTTTCCTAATGCTTTCAAGTGATTTATTATATGTGTGAAGCGTATCTGGAAATCCGTGATGCTTTCATTTTGATGCATTTGAAATAATTCATACTCCTGGATGAGTGTGTTCTTACGTGTTCGCTTTACTTCATTTATTCTTTCATGTGTTACTTTAAGAGTGTCCCATATTTCTTTTACCATCTTGCATTGTGAGACCCTGAAAAATTCATTACGAGTTAAGGCAGAAACAATAGCATTTCGGACTCTTACATCATAATGGGCACACTTATTTTCATCCGACGTCCATTGATCAATCTCTCCCTCATTGCTTTCAAAGGTTATCTACTACAAAAACTTCTACATATAACACAACACATACAAACAAGTAACACGACAAATGCAAACATACACTAAGAATACTGATGAAAATCACAAGAGAAGGTTTGTATTTTTTTATAGTGTACCTAAAATGATAGACAAACGATAGATAAATTAGACAAAACAAACCCAAAAAGGTAACATTGGTGATCCTCAAGACAACGTACACTATTTCAGTGATGATGATTTACCTTGCACAAGTGAAATGCTTAAGAGAACAAAGGTTGGAGGTGCACGGTGAGGGAAAGGTTTATATAGGAGTCAAAGTGAGTAAAATGCTTAAGAGAGCAAATATAATCTTGAAATAGTTTGAAAAGATGAAACATAAGATAAATGATTTGAAGGGATGAAATACATTAACCTAAAAACATTTTGCATCCCTTTTAAGCAAAATGACATTCTGGGAAAAGTATGATGACACAAACATACCACTCATGTTAACCTCATTTACCCCTTAATGGATATGTGTTTAAGGACAAGTCAACCTCATTCACCTCTCAATACACGTGTATAAGGACAAGTCTTTTCTATAGTAGTTACCTTAACCAAGATCTTTTCATATTCCTTATTATGTTTTATCCTAGTAAAATAAATAATTATCGACTTTGAGTGTTTAATTGGTATCTTATCTCAAGAAAGAAATTCAAGACTAACAATTGATGTACTATGTTGTTATACACTACCTTACAAACCTAAGACAATCTATATGCTAGATTAAGTCATACAAGGTATTGAACATGAAAGCAATGAGGGGGAGATTGATGGAAATGTCCCTACATTCCCAAGAGATGATTTTGATGATGATTCAAGTCAACTATATTCAAGTCAACACCATTCAAGATGAATTAAGGACAAGCTGAATTTATGACGTTGGTGACAATGTGAAACATTTCCCTACATGCCCAAGATATGTTTTTGATAAAGATGATGATTTAAGCAAGCCCAAGATGATTCCTGAAGACTAGATAGAGTCTTAGAATACTGGATATGGAGGTACAAGTTGATAAAGTAATATTATGCATAAGCCTCCAAAGCATAAGTGCGATAAAATTCATAACATGATATTTTTCTCTGTCATAATCAATTATGATGCATCAGAAATGGAAAAATGATTTTCTCTGTCATAATTGATTATACTGGTAATATAATCAATCATGACAATTCAAATTTGAAAAATATATCTATTTTGAAGAATAAATATTTTTGAATATATCCCGATTTTTATTCACAAAAATATTAATGTCCAACAACCATTTTCTCGATGCTATTTTTCTATTTAATTAAATTTTGATGAAAAATCAAATACACACAATTACAGTAATTCGAAAATACAATTTACATTCAATCAATCTTGAGAAAAGAATTCTGAGCAAGGCAACAGAGATATTTTACACCTTCTAAGAAAACTCTCTTCTCTACTGTCTTTTGTCCTTTCATTGTTAATCACACTTGTTCTTGGAGATTGACATTCTACAGGCTTCTACAATTTGTTGTCTCCATTACCCAAGTGTGACTGTTCTTATTTTTATTACCTTCATCCTTTGTGTATTGGTGGCAAATGAGGTGTTTTTCATCCCTAGTGTGATTCTAGGGAGATATTCATCCTTAGTGAGATTCTAAGGAGGTGTTTTCATCCTTTGATTTGTTCAAAGGAGGTTTTCATCCCTAGTGTGATTCTAGGGAGGTGTTCATCCTTAGTGGAATTCTAAGGATATGTTTTTCATCCTTTGATTTGTTCATAAGAGGTGTTCATCCCTAGTGGGATTCTAGGGAGGTGTTCATCTTTAGTGGGTTTCTAAGGAGGTGATTGTCTTTTTGATTAGTTTACTTTTTACTGGTTCTTCTGCTGAGTTGATTGTAATTTGTAAACTGAATTTGAAAGATAGTGAATTAGGAGTCACTCTTGTGTTAAAAGTTGATTGAGAACTGGATTTAGGATTGACTATACCTGAACCAATATAAATCTTTGTGTGTTCTTCTCTTTCCCTTATTTCTTTCTCTTTTCCTGATTATATTATTGTTTCCGCTTTATCTGTATTCAAACAAATTATTGATTCACAAATAAATTTTTAATTTGACATCTATTTTAATTTGTGTATCTATTCACCCCCTCTAGATGTCATTTGTCTAACAGAACAAATTCTTAAAAGAATACTGGTTCATTAGCTAGCCCAAGATCAACCTTAACGTAAGACTACCTTTATTTAGTTGAATATCGTCTCGTCAAGAAAGGTTCATTCTTCATACACCCACATAATTCATATAAAATGACCAAAATACCCTTTGTACTAATTTTTGTTTGAAATCCTAAAAAAATTATTCACTTGTTCACTCCTCTACCCCTCCATATCTCCCTTGCACCTCTAAAACTCTTGCATCTTTGTTTTGTTGTCATTCCACCTTTATTAAAAATAATTTTTAGCTCATAAGGTTAGAATTTGTTAATGCTTTGTGCCTATTAGAAAATATTTGTTCAAATGTCAATGAAAATTGAACTGAAAATACACTTAAGAATATAGACTGCTCAATCTAAAAGACATCTTCATCCTACCCAAAAGTAAGTTAATTGAAATTCATTTCTAGAGGACTTAATCTAAAAATATATTTTAAATTAGATGTTCTAGAACTCATTTTCAGATTGACTATTTTAAAAATACATTTTAGATTGGACATTCCAAAAATATATTTTAGATTAGATATTTAGAAAATAAATTTTAGAATAGTTAATCTAAAATAATTTTTTAAATAACTAATCCAAAATATATTTCCGAAAGATGGTAACAAAATAAGTTATGAAAATATGTTTATGGAAAATTAAATCTAAAAATCTTATTCTATTTAAAAATAAAAATAGATTTATTTTAATTACAGGTATACGTAATAGTGAGTTAGGGGGGAGAACTTTTTACAGGCGTATGTATCCCGTCGGGTCATACGCTATCTACAGAGAATCTATGAAAAAGTCAAATATCAGGAATATGAAGCAGTCGGGAAACTCGAATCCATATTCCCGTCCCCTTTAAAATCTGGACAACAAAGATTAGGATACACAGGCCTCCAATCCCCAAAGAAACGCAATTTGACACTTGCAGAGAGACTAAAAAACATATCTCCCCTTTCTTTTGCAAGAAGAATAATTAATACACAAAACTTTCGTTGACTTGAGTCATTTCAACTCCGACCCGTGCGTGAAAGATGAGCAAAACGACCTTCATCACCGGCGTCTTAGCCATCGTCTTCCTCCTGCTGTCGCCCTCGACGGCGATGATCAAAACCATAACCATATCCTCCGACACCCGACCCACCATCCTCTTTCAGAAATTCGGGTTCACCAACGCAGGCCACGCGACGGTCGCGGCGTCGTCAGTGTCTGTGGTGGCGCCGTCGGCACCGGACCTCTCGCGGCTAGGGTTCTTACTAATAAGCGATGCATCACTCCCCCAAGTTCTTACAGAAATCGGACAACACCCTAGCTTTTGCATCCTCGATTCCCACTCCATCTTGCGCCTGTTCACCTTCAACAACCTCTCTCTCCCTCCATCCGCCTCCTTCAACCGCACCTATCCCATCACCATCTCCGGCGAATACTCATTATTCTTCGTCAACTGCGCCTTCGGGAGCGCCGTCACGATGGTCGTACACATCGAGCTCTACAATCACAACACCGACGGTTCCCGCGACTACCTCTCCTCCGGCCACACTCACCTCCGTTCACTCTTCTCTCTTTTCTCCATCGCTTACTTTTTCTTCTTCGCAACATGGCTCTATCTCTGCCACGTCAACAACCGCTCCCTTCACCGGGTTCACCTCTACATGGCCTTGCTCCTTCTCGTGAAGGCTCTCAGCTTTCTCTGCGCGGCAGTCGAGTACCAGTCCGTCAAGGTCAACGGCACCACTCATAGCTGGGATTTCTTCCATATATTTGACTTCGCCAGTGCCGTTTTTCTCTTCACCGTTGTCGTTTTGGTGGGGACACGTTGGACCTTCCTCCACCCTGTCGTGCGGGAGAGGGGAAAGAAGGCGCTCTTCGTTGTTATCCCCCTTCAGGCTCTGGCGCATGTGGCTTTCGTCGTTATTCTGAAGACTAGACCCTATTCCGAGAAATGGGTTACGTGGAACCAGGTTTTCCTTCTGCTCGACTTCATTGCTAATTGCGCCATGGTTTTCTTTGTTGGTTGGTCCATGAGATCGCTCACGAAAACCTCCACGATGCAAGAAGAGCCTGCTGTGAACCTGCATAGGTTTACCCTTATCAGACGATTCTACATCATTGTCATTGGCTACATACTTTTCACGCGCTTTGGGATATTTGCTCTCAAAACTGTTGTTGCCGATAAATACGAGTGGGTTGATAATCTCGTGGAGGAAATAGCCACTCTTGTGTTTTGCAATGCCATGTTCTACGTGTTTTGGGTGGTTGAGAAGGATGAATACTCTGTGATGGGTGAAGAGGAACTAAAACCAAGTGATAAGAACGTTGAAGTTGAGATTTGAAACTATTCGCCGCAAATGTTTGGTGTTTCCATTCACACTGTTCTTACATAATTAGGAAATATATGTTGTTCATAACTATAGTATTTTAGTGGATTTTGCCTGTTACTGTTAAGGCTAATATATAATATTAAATTCACAAAGGAAAATATACTTTGAGTTCTCAAATTTATACAATTCCAATTAACAATTCTCTTTTAATATTATAATAATAATTTTAATTTATTTTTATTTTTATTAAATTATTATATTAATAAAAATAAATTGTTTAAAAAGTTGTATGATTTCTGATGTAAAAATATCTCTATATCAAAAGCCTTGTCAAAGAAAGCAACTTGATCTGCTGACAAAATCAAATAAAACAAATGATCTACTTGGTCAGTCAAATGATGTTCAAATTCTATGAAATGTTCATGTATGACAATAATCCGAAGTGAATATGTCAACCTTATAATGTTGAAGAAGGGGACCGCTCAGCGTTTTGAAAAATCCGTTAAGCTGAATGACAACAAAAATGGGTTGTCAGCCATGAACGATATCCTCCCTGATTTCTCCCTCCAACACCATAATTCAATTAAAGCTCATTTTTATCTTTACACTTATTTTCTTCTTCATTTTCGGATTAGCTTTTCCGATTACTGAAAATCCGATTACTGAAAATTCGAGACTACGTTTTCGAATAAGTACATTTTCAAAAACATAGAAATCCTCACTCTATAATTTATTTATAAATTAATTTTTCTGAAATTCAACGAAAATATTAATTTAGATTAAACAATTTGAATCTTTCCTACGATCTGAATATAGGATCATAAAATTTATACATAATATTAATTATTACTTACCTTTAATTATTATAAAAGACTTTTAATAAAAGTGATAATATAAAAAAAATCAAATTATAAAAAATGGAGGAACTTAGGAATGAAGATGTAAAAATTGTTCACAAATAAAAAAAATTAGGATAAAAAATAAAATTATGAAAATAATATTTTAAATATTTGATTTTGGATATTGAAGTGCTGGGTGGGAAAAATTATAAAAGTGAAGGAAGCAATATTCATGAAGTAATTCAATATTTAAAGGACAACTAGACCCATGATCTAGTGAAATTTCCAAAAGAAAAAATTTTTATTGAAAGCAAACTGGTGTTCAAGCCCAAGAATGAATAGAACTATCCAAATCCCATGGATAAAAACACAATTTGTCATGAAAGATTATAACTAGAAAAAAGACATGAATTTTGAAGATATATTTTCACTAGTGATAAAGATAACATCCATAAAAATAATTGTTTATCTACAACCATACTTGGAGATTCGAGAACTTGATTTTAATAATGTTTTTTAACGTGGGAACCTTTTATTTAGGCATAGCGCCGGTGAAAATTTGATCGATTTCGATTAAATTAGAGACTTGGATTCTAACCAAATTTCAACCACGTAGATTCTTTTTACTTAAGCTAACAAACGGTTTTCAATCAAAAATGCATGAGAATCGAAAATCTCATAATCTCAAAAAATGCAAACAACACAACCTAGTGTACAGATTGACAATCGAAAGTACTATTTTTGATATTTTTTATTAAGAAGCGTGAAGTAAAGAAAGCAGCAAAGGGTATCGAAATGAAAAGCAGTGCAGAATATTAAATTGTCGAGGAATGTAAATGACAATGAATTAAAATTGCAAAAATGTAAATGGCGAAGAACTTAAATGCAGAATTTTAACTTGCATAAAGGTAAAATGACAAGGAATTGAAATTGCATAAATGTAAATAACAGGAAATCGACATTGCAAGAACGGTAAATGCAGGAGAATTTAAGTACAAAATCTTATATTGCATTGAAGGAAATGACAAAAATTTAAAATACAGGAACTTAAATTGATGATTGTAAATAAGTTACCAGGGAAAGTAAAGAAAACGGTAAAATCGGTCAATGAGAATGGAAATCTAGATCGCCAGAAACTTCATGATTCGTCGTTCTTCGGTAGACTTTTCACTTGTGTTTCTGTTGTCTATGCCAATTTCCTCTTCTCCTTCAAGCGTTGTTCTATTTATAGGCATCCTTCAATATAACCTCTTGAGAGCAGTTTAAAAACTGTCACCACGTTCCATGTGCACGATCCTCGATTTTTACCTTAGTTTCCAGTTAAAAACCGTTTCCACGTTCTAGGTGCATTATAACCGTTTCTCGATTTCTAACCTTAGCTGCGATGTGAAAAGTCATTCTTCATGTTCTTTATGCACGATAATCGTTTCCCTCGATCTCGATTCCAGTTATCGAGTCCAATTTTCCTTAATCTTGACTTTATCATTACTTTCATCGATTTGTTTCTCTCTTTTCTGATTTTCGATTTTCATTCTCGATTTATATGTTTATACTATCTCATGGTCACCGGGTGTCTTCCAACCATCTTTCCGATTTATCACCTTTTTAACCAATCATATGACCTTCGATTTTCTCTCTTCTACTTTTCGATCCTTGTATCGATTTTTCACTAACATCGCCATAATATGGCGGGGCGGGTTGGTGTTTTCAGCCCACCAGCCCGCTTTGGCCCGCCCCCCAAGTCCGCCAACCCGTCGGGTCAACCCGCGGGACTGGGCAGAGCCAGCCTGCGACCCGCCTAATTAATAAAAAAATAATTTTTTATTATAATAAAATATAATTATAAAGATAATATATAAAGTTAAAATTTTTTAAAAAAGAATTAAAAAAGTTTCATTCTCACGTAAAATATTATCCTTCCCGAAATATAACATTTTCTCATGTTCTCCTTGTTTATCCTAAACACTCGATTATTTGTATCCTTATTACTTGAATTAAAAGTGTAAGAATTACTCAACCAAGAATAATATGAAGTTTTATCAAATAAAAAAGATATAGATATTTCAATTTTTTAATATAAAAAATATAAATTTTATAAGTTTAACGTTATTTATATATATATATATATATGTATATATTATTATTTATTATTATGTAAATTTTATTATTATTCTAAATTATAATTTCTTAAATTAAATTGAAATAATATATATATATATATATATATATATATATTGAATTATTGACAAACAAATAATAATTTTATTATTAAATTTATTAACAAAATTTATTTAAAAAAATTATTTTTTTCTAAATTATGGTGGATCAACCCACTAACTCACTCCTTGGCGGTAGGCCAAGATTTTCAGCCTATCATGACTATATCGGACCACGCCTCACCTTGTTTTTGACGGGCCAAAGGTGGGACAAGGCCAAAGCAACTCTGTTTTGTTATCCCTACTTTTATTCTTTTCTTTATATCGATAAAGACTAATCATTTCATAACTTAGCCCATCTATATTATATAACGGTATAAGATTATTTATTGTATTAGTTGAAGAAAAACTTCTATGATCTTAAGGAAGTTTCAATGATACAAAATGTGTTATCACATCATGATTGAAGACAAATTCGATCAAACTTAATCAAATCATTTGTGTGTTTGTGAAGAACTATAAAAATGATGAATTCTTCTTATTATTACTATAATATATTAATTATTGAAAAAGACAAAACAAAAATAGTTGCTCTCAGAAAGAAAGTGCTGACAAAGTCTTTGAAAAAAAATAATAAAATAGTATGAACCTAAAAAATATAATAATTTAAAAACTCAAGTGGAATTCATCCTGAATATATATCACAGTATAGTTGACTTCTCACATTAAAATTTAAACAAAATTACTGTTTTAACACACCCACTGTAATGTTGTAAATTTCTTATAATTTTGACTCTTTATTGATTTGTCATATTTTGATGAAATATTTAGTTTTATTTCTTCTTTTAAGATTATCAGATGTTAAATCATTACAATCTCAAATAATTTCAATATTACAAACATAATTTATTTTTTAATTGAAGAAGTTTTTCTCATACAAAATTATATAAATCTTCATGAATTATACCTTTTTATAAAAAGCTACATACTTTTATCGAGAGTCACGTCTCTTTATTTAGACTTATATTTCTTTAAGCAATGCCTTTGTAGCAACAATCGTGGCATTGAAGCAACATATTATTTACTGATTTTGAAAATGGAAGTACTAACAAACAAATATATGCATACATTTTAAGAGGGGTGTGATTCTAAAGGGTGATTATGTAAATGTAAAATAAAAAACATGAACGGGTATGCTTAACAATTAAGGGAGATGTAAATAGTAAATGTGGGTCAGTGAACAAGTTGGGCCACAATAGGCCAATATAAAATTTGGGCCCCTCTAAACCATCCTCGCCGCCTTTTGTGAGCAAAATAGGTTACTCCGCCTGGTTAGCGCGAGGATTGACCGCTGACGACGTCGTTTGGAAACGCGAAATTGTTTGTTGTTAGGCATGGCAACGGGGCGGGGGCGGGTTTTGCCTCCCCCGTCCCCGCCCCCGACTTTTTTAACCATCCCCGTCCCGTCCCCGATCCTCAGGGCTAGAATTAGTCCCCATTTCCGTCTCACGTTCGGGTTTCGGCTTCGCCTACGCCCGCCCTCCCGCCTCGTCCCTCAATTTATATTATTTTTAAAAAGATAATTATATTTATAATAAATTAATTTTACTATGTATTTTTATATATAAATAAATATTTATAATTTATAGTTATTATTAATTAAATATACATTTTAATTTATTATATTTATATTAAAATATATATGTAAAAGAAATATTTAATTATTTTTTATTTATATATATATATATATATATAATATTTATAACATTATTATTATTATTATTATTATTATTATTATTATTATTATTATTATAACACTTGTATTCAAATATTTGAATATTTATAACATTATTATTATAATACTGTATTCAAATATTTAATTATACATATAAGTTAATTCATTTTTAAGTTGTCAATATATTTAATAAGTTAATTCTTATTTAATTAGTTTGAAGTAATAAAAGTTTAAATTATTAATTTCTTTTAATCTTTTAAAATGCAATTATTTTATTAAGATAAAATTTGATATATGATAAATAAGCATAATAAGATAAAAAAATATGGCATAATAAATATAAATTATAAATAAACTAATATTAGCTACTAAGATTGATAAATATTAATATAAGATTGATGTAAAATATTTAGAAAAGATAAAGAAAAAGATTAACTTTGTGTTCATCAAATTGGTTGAAAAGATTGAAAAAAAACAAATTGATGGGAGAGACTAATAAAATGTGAAAAACTGAAAGATAAGTGAGAGAATAATATAATAAATTAATTGATATAAAAGATTGAGAAAGATAAAAAAAATTAAAAAGTGGGTAGAAGAAAAATAAAAATTGGTGAAATATAAAAAATAACATTATATGTAATAGTAAAAAGAAAATGAAATACTTTTAAAATATTAATATTTTAAAATTTAAATTTAAATATAAAGTCGGGCGTGGACGGACGAGGGCGCAGGATTGAGATTACCCATCCCCGCCCACCCCCAACTTTTAAAGCTGAAAACCCGAACCCAACCCGACCTCCGCCTCAGCCAACTCGGGGTTTTCCCACAACTCGGACGGGACGAAGTCGGTCCCCACGGTACAGGTTTAATTGCCATCCTATTTGTTGTCTAATTGCAATCATCGACACTGCGACCGTATTTGCCTTCAAGCATACGCCAAAGGAACACTCGTTTACTTCAATCCTCAGGTCACTGCTCCTTTCCTTTCCTTTCCAATTTCCCATTTCCAATTTCCAACTTCAAACCCTAACCGGTTAAAATGGGGAAAACCATCTTCGCCTCCGGCGTCGTTGCCTTCCTCCTCCTCCTCCTGGTGTCCCCCTCCACGGCTGAGATCAAAGCCCTCACCATAACCTCCGACACGCGCCCCATGATCCTATTGGAGAAATTCGGGTTCACACATACCGGCCACGTGTCGATCGCGGTCTCCTCTGTGTCCGTGGTGGCGTCGGGGGGATCGCAACCGGACCCTTCCCGGTTAGGGTTCTTCCTCCTGAGCGAAGAGTCCCTTCTCCAAGTCCTAATCGAGATCCAGCAAAACCCTAGCTTCTGCGTCCTGGACTCGCGCTATATCAAAAGCCTCTTCACCTTCCGCGAGCTCTCTCCCCCTCCTGCCGCCTCCGTCAACCGCACCTTCCCCATCACAACCCCCAACGAATACAGCCTCTTCTTCGCCAATTGCGCGCCGGAAAGCTCCGTCTCCATGGCGGTCCATACGGAGCTCTACAACCTCGACCCTGACTCCGCCCGCGACTACCTTTCTGCTGGCCAGACTCAGCTCCCTTCCCTTTTCTTCCTCTTCTCAGTGGTCTACTTCGCCTTCCTCGGCATCTGGCTCTACCTCTGCCACTCCAACCGCCGCTCCCTCCACCGGATCCATATCCTCATGGCCGCCCTCCTCCTCATGAAGGCCCTCAACCTCCTCTGCGCCGCCGAGGACAAGCACTACGTCAAAATCACCGGCACCCCCCACGGCTGGGACGTGCTCTTCTACATCTTCCAGTTCATCCGCGTCGTCCTCCTCTTCACCGTCATCGTCCTCGTCGGCACCGGTTGGTCCTTCCTCAAACCCTTCCTCCAGGAGCGCGAAAAGAAGGTCCTTATGATTGTCATCCCCCTCCAGCTCCTCGCCAACGTCGCCTCCGTCGTTATCGGCGAAACCGGTCCCTTCATCAAGGACTGGGTCACCTGGAACCAGGTCTTCTTGCTTGTCGACATCATCTGCTGCTGCGCCATCATCTTCCCTATTGTCTGGTCCATTAGGTCTCTCAGGGAAACCTCCAAAACCGACGGAAAGGCCGCCAGGAACCTCGCCAAGTTAACCCTCTTCAGACAGTTCTACATCGTTGTCATTGGCTACTTGTACTTCACGCGCATTGTTGTCTTTGCGCTTAAAACCATTGCCGCGTATAAGTACCAGTGGGTGAGCAATCTCGCCGAGGAGACTGCTAGCCTCGCCTTTTATGTTGTCATGTTCTACATGTTTAGGCCTGTCGAGAGAAATGAGTACTTTGTTCTCGATGAGGAGGAAGAAGAGGCGGCGGAGATTGCCCTCAGGGACGAAGAATTTGAGCTTTGAAACAAACTCACTGACTATATTTCAGGTTCTTCAATCACTTTGTTGCTACTTGATAGTTGCTCCATATACTGTTAGAGATGTTTATACTGGAATGCTGGGTCTGTGTGTTAATCTTTTGTGTTGATGCTTGCAATGCTGATAAATGTATTGTACGGAATAGAAGAAAAAGGAACGTATGATCGTGTTCTCGCTCTAATGCCAATTTCTCTAGGAGCTGTACCGTACACGCTTAGTTGTTACTAGGTTGTTTTGCTACTTCATTCTTCTTTTGACTGAATTTTCCGTGTTCTTCTTATGCTTGATTGTACTGAATGGCTAGAACAAGCTCTTCAAAATTCTTAGTTCAATAAATTTATGTTTTTCACAATCTCAAGTTTCTAGCTGTTCTTTATTTTTGTTTACGATTGACATTTAATTTTAGCGAGCAATTGCATCTCGATTTATATTAAATAGTATGTCCTGCAGTTTTTTTGTTTGTTTGTGTGTGTTCCTACTATGATAGAAGGCGTTTCTGTCATAATTTATATTATTGATTGATATTTAGATTTAATTTACATGGTATTTGATGTTTTCTTATCAGGGCAACATGGTGGACGACTTGGGAGAAAATTGATATTTGAGCAAGTGAAGGATGCAATTGAACAGGGTGATACCTGGCTCCACTTTTCTTTTTCAGAGTACCTTGAAGCAAAGCAAGAATTCAATGATGGGCAAGTGCGGGATTTTGTGGTTTAACTATACTGCCTAACTAGTTTACGTAGTAAATGTATGTATGATTTTTATTCTCTCTTGGTATTTACTTGTTCTTTTTTGTGAAAGATGTGCTAGAAATGCTGTTGTGTTTAGTGTTTGAAATATAAACTGTGCAGAGTCAATTAAAATCGATATTTAATGAAGAGTTCCCGCTTGAAACCTCAATTTAAAAATAGCGACTTTATAATTGTTCTCAATACAGTGAACTTTACCTTGTTTGGGAAAAAACACGACCTGACTTTGTAAAAGGTTGACCATGTTGGCTTTTCCATCATACTTCTTGTATTCGTAGTCTTTCTTCAACAGTATGAATTGAATGGAGTGTCGTAGTTCTAGTTCTGCGTGAGAGGATCTAATCTTCTGTGATGAATGCTCATGCAGAAACAGAGTATACTTCTAGTTCTTGAAGTTTGTTGATGCAACCCAAAAGTATATGGTTTTTTAAGGCACGAGATACAGGTTATGTGTTGTTGCACCCGTGTACTCATCCATTGAACTTGATGCACTCATGCTATTGGTTTGAAGTCAGCATATATTATTACCATCGTTTGTTTGTTTGCCATGACGACTATATTTTGTATATTCAATTTTAGGCTTTGTAATGGGATTTTCTAACTGCAGCAGGGGTAATCATGATGTTGTCAGTCGTTCTGATAAATATCTTGGTGTCTAACATGTTTGCTCCTTTCAAAAGAAGTTAAATGTGATTTTTTATTTATTCATATATTTAGATGATGCTTCCCTTTGAGTGCGAAAGGTGTGGCTAGTTCAATACTCTGATGGTTGAGTAAATAATCTTCCCTTACCAGAATAGTATATGGGTCGTCCAAGTTATTTTGCAGTTTGATATTGTGGATACAGATTTTTGCAATGTATGGATCTGATATGACTAGGGAAGGTCTGCCGTTATGGAGTTGTTAGAAAATTATTTGAACAATTCCTCTGCAGTATCTGTTTGTGGGAGAATTAAGGGCCATAACATGATTTATTATTTGACAATTTTTTCTATAAAACTTTTTAGGAAATAAAGTAAGATTTTTTTATCATAAATTCAAAATAGTTTGTGCAAAAATTATTTTGTTGAAGTTTTTTTGTATAATTTTTCTAGATTTTTTTATTTGTGTGGAATAAACTAATTTTATTTTGTGGATTTTTTCTGAGTATTTATGGAGAAACTTATCTATAAGTTGAATTACTATTAGTTTATTTTATTTATAAGTAAATTTTGCTTGCGAGTTTATCAATATAAATGATACCTGAAAATTTTCATTGAATAATGGACGAGAACATTTTTTTTATTTTGTAATCAAATATTTCTATGCCGTGGACCTTATGGAATGCTATTTAAATTTATGCATACTGATTTTTTAAATTGATTGACATAGAATAATAATTTATCAATCAGTTTTATTATTCATGAACATAGTTGAGTATAGAAATATTAATGTTTTTTGTAAAGGAGTATTTACGACTGTTATATATTATTAATAATAATTATTTGTTAATTGAGTATGCGGAAATAGGTTTTGATACGAAAGTATTGTTTGCAATAATTTTTAATTATTTTTATGATAATTTTTTTATCATGTTAATATTATGTTGTTAGATTATCTTAAATTAAAAGGATAAATAAGAAAATTGAAATAATCAAATTGGATATAAGTAAAAAGGTTATAAGTTTAATTTAGTCTATTATATTTTATTTAATTTTTACGTGAGTTAACATGATATTATGAATTTGTTTTATTTATCTAACTTTTTCTTGTCATTGGTTTAAAATTTATTTTAAGGCTGAGCTAGACTAGAAATAAATAGGATTAAAGTATAAATGTTATTTGATAAAATGTATACAATACACTACAAAATTGAGTTTTTCCGAAGTAAATTATTACATTTAATAAGATCTTAGACTTGTCATATTCATAATATATTATATGATCAGTACTGTATGTATGTCTACTTTAATAGTTAATATTAAGAAAATAAATCTATTTGATCGATTTATTTTTTATTAGGGAATGTTTTTGAAAAGAGAAAGAATATGAAGAAGATTTTTCACGTACAAAGATCAAAGTACCAAAGGACGTGTTTCATAGCATAGAAGAAACGTGTAAAGTTTTAAAACACTTGTGATAGAATCACATACTCTATACAAAAAAGATTGCACATAGAACAAAGTTACAATCCCCTGCCTTGAGCTTCCTTATCTGTATTAATTAGACTAAACTTCTTACCTAACTTAGGCTATATGAAAGAAGGCTTATACTTAGTCATTACTTTACCATCTTTAATAAATCACTCCCATATTAATTTAAGAATAGACATAGCATTCTATTGCTGTTCGAGAAAGGTCTTTTCAATCAGTAATATCATAACTTGTTAAGACTTAATTTTTCTTAACAGTTGGACTCTTTTTATCTGTGTATTCAAATTCGGATCGGTCTTTTCTCGAGTATGCAGTTTTCTAGATGATGGACATGATTTTTGGGAAAATTTTCATTATGTCCTCGAAAGATTTCAGCACGTGCTCGACCCCTAATATCAGCCAATTGGCGATGTAGGTGATCTGGACACACAGGGACGGATACAGACGGGTGAGTATGGGCGGCCCCTCCCTCTTTCAAAATTTATATATATATATATATATATATATATATATATATATATATATATATATATATATATATATTATATTTCACTTATATATTATAAAAAAAATTATATTAGAAATAGTAAAAAAAAATATCTACCGCAAAAGTTTTACTGTAAGTTCTGTCGATTTATATATTATAATATAATAAAATTATATTATATAATATTATAAATAAAAAAGTTAAAGAAGTTTATTTATCGTAACTCGTAAATGAACGTAATTTGGTAATTTTGATAATTTTATATTTATTTTTTATTTTTAAGTTCTAATTATTCTTCTGCATGTGTGATTGATTTCTTCACGTTTGAAAGTTATAGATCCACCTTTACTTCAACAATAAAATTGTAACTTCGCAAATTGTAACTGCATTGGACCCATCTGCAGTAAGGATTTTAATATGTTTCCAAACACACACTAAATTAGTGTGTCATTCTCCCGTTTGAATTCTCAAAAGTTTCAAAACTACAAAAATGGTGAAACAAGAGTACATCATTACGGTAAGTTCTATTAAGTATTTTGTAAGTATTTTTCTTATTTTTCTTCATTAATTAAAAAAAAGTAAATTTAAAATTTTACTGCTAAAAACATTAATAGACTTATAATATTTTTTTCTTTAATATAGACTCTTTTAGGATCAACATCAGTTCAAAGAAAAAAAAATAACAGTGCAAAATTAATTTGGAAGTAAAGGTTGGAGATTCTTGAAGACAAAATGTCACAAATTAGTTGTAAGATAAAATAAATTTTTTCATTTAGTTATAGTTTGATAAATAAATTTGAAACTAATATTATTATATGATTAGTTTGCACATTTTTTTTAATTTTATTGTTATCACAAGGTTTTAGAAATTTATTCTGACTATAATTATGTGATTATGTTAATTTTAATTTTTGTTATCAATGACATTTTAGGGTGAGAATATAGAGATTTGATAGTATCATGGAAAAATCATATATAATTGGTACATATTTTAAAATAAAAGCTAATAAAACTCTTCAAGTTAGTAGCTCATTAACTCCTCCATCAAGCACACAAGTTAATAACTCATCAACTCCTCCTTCAAACACACAAATAGTTGTCAGTTAACAACATCAATCTAAAGTTCCTAGAGTAGAAGAAGTTGATATCTCTTTACTTGAGAAAGATCCGGGAAAACGACTTTCTATTTGGCAATATCTTGTTGATCATCGTGACAAAATTCGTAGAGCTTATATAAAAGCAGGGCCATATCAACCTAAAAATATAAGATTTCCAGCTTCTAGTATTGGAAATCATCGTCAACACTTTCAGCCATCTTGGTTTAAAAAATTCCTTAGTTGGTTAGAATATTCACCTCAAAAAGATGCTGCATTTTGTTTGCCTTGCTACTTGTTCAATAATAATCATGGTGATCGAAATGATGGAAGAAATGCTTTTGCTGAAGTAGGATTTAAAAATTGGAAAAAGGTGAATGATGGAAAAAATTGTGCATTTTTATGTCATGAAGGAGTTAGTCCTAATTCATTACATAAAAGATGTTTAAAATTTTGTGATGACTTAATGGCTCAATCTCACCATATTGAGAAAGTCTTCAATAGGCAAAGTACTAAAATTATTACAAATAACCGTTTACGGCTAAAGACTTCCATTGATGTAGTTTGGTGGCTCACATTTCAAGCATGTGCTTTTATAGGTAATGATGAGAGTCTTGATTCATTGAATAGAGGGAACTTTATTGAGTTGATAAAACTTTTGGCTTCTTACGATCCTGATGTAGCTAAATTTGTTCTTGAAAATGCTCCTAGAAATGCTCAATATACCTCACCTAATATTCAGAAAGAATTATTGTATATCTTTACTAGAAGGATACGTGTTGTCATACGTGAAGAGATTGGTGATTCCAAATTTTGTCTTATTATTGATGAAGCTAGAGATGAATCAAAAAGAGAACAAATGGTTATAGTTTTGAGATTCGTGGATAAAGATAATTGTGTTCAAGAAAGATTTTTTGATCTTGGTCATGTTTCTGACACTTCTTCTTTAACATTGAAAAAATAAATTTCAAGTGTTCTTTCTCGTCATTGTCTTGATATTCAGAATCTTCATGGTCAAGGGTATGATGGAGCTAGCAACATGTGTGGTGAATGGAATGGGTTGCAAGCTTTGTTTTTGAAAGATTATCCTTATGCATATTATATTTATTGTCTTGCTCATCGCTTACAACTAGCACTAGTTGTAGCTGCCAAAGAAGTTTATCATGTTCATCAATTTTTCTCAAATTTAACAGTGATTGTGAATGTTGTGATTGCTTCTCCTAAGAGACATGACCAATTACAGGTTGCTCAAGCA